AAAAAAAAAAAAAAAATGACATTTTGATTTTATTTTTCTTCCTTTGCAGTGCCAGAAAAACGCTGTAGTCACCCATGCACACTGCAGTTATTGTAATATTTGTTAGTCCTTCCTCCTTTGCTGCAGGCACCACTGTTTATCACAGAAAAATGTGCCATTCCCACATTTTTATCCACGATTATCTGGCATGTGTCACTGCCAGAAAAAAAACTTGATATTTATTTTAAATTGCTGCAATAATAAGGAAAGTGGCTGTATTACATTTACATTAAAATAATGGAATGCACAGCATTTAATATGAAAAGGGATTCCTGAACAAATTGTTTGCTCAGTATGTTTCCCACACAACCATTCCAGTGCTCCTGCAATACCCCAGTAGATAATATTGGAGATATTGTTGTTAATAATACATGGGAAACACACATCCCTGAGGAATTTCAGTGAATATTTGCTGGGTTTCCTTAGCTGGCAACATCGTCCCTTCCTTCCCCACTTCAGTGCAAAAACAAACTCTACATGTGCTCACTTACAGTTGTGCCTAATTATATAAATGTACTAATTACACACACTTTTCAAAGTAGGTAAATTTTAAATGGTGCCATTAAGGAAATCTATTTGATGATGGAAATTTCTGTAATATCATATTGCAATCTCACACATGGCAATTTTGCTCTCATGTCAGTATTTATTTAATGACAAATAACAGCAGAGGATAATAGAGTTGGGAAAGCAAATTAAAGCTGTAACATTTGTAGGGTGATGTTGGTCAGCAGATGCTAAAATAAGGGAATAAAAGGAATTTGGAAAGGCAGTGAATCTAAGGCAAATAATCAGCAAAAAGAAGTTTTGAATTATAAATATCTTCCAAAACCATCACATAAACACCTGCAAGACTGACTTATCCCCATCAGAAAAAAATACAAGTCATTGAGAATTTCATTTACACACACATCAGATCTGAAAATCACTTACCTGCACTTCTGAGCACCTCTTTGCACTCAAAATAATTCCAATTGCAAGTAGGAACCAGCCCTAGGGGCTCACCCAGTCATACCAACACTGGCAAAAAAACCCAATCTGCTGCCTCTTGAGACCTTCTGGCTGATGTAAAAAGACTTTTTTACTTTTAACATCAAATACACACCAAAACTCCTGGTTCTCTAACATAACACCTGTGAGGTGATTGTATAATTAAATATAATGAACACTGATTTTCTTTTAGTACTACTTAAGTTTACTGCTCTGATGTCCCAGATGAGTGGGTTTTTTTCATGTAAATGATAATAATTTTATATTTTTCTGCTGCAGAATCTGGATTTTGAATTGACAAGAGCACGGGGCAGCACCACAGCACAACAACACTGCAGGATACTAATCTCTCTGCCTTTACTTAAATAATAACGTGGCAGGGAAGAGACAGAATCCATCTTCCCTAGCAAACAGGGAAAAAATTCTGTGTGAGAAAGGGAATTGGTCGATGCTCTCTCACACAAATCCTTGTGTCACAACAAATACTCTCAGTAAGTCACAGGCTGTCACATCTCATCCAAGACATTTATGGAAAGGCTTCATTGAAGCATCTCATAAGCAGCAGGTGGGTGATCCTGATTTATCCAGCTCAATCATAGATCAGCAATGCTCAGGAACTCTGGGATCTGAGATTTTTGGGTACATCCTTCAATGTTTGGGGTCCAGGGAAGCTTGAATAACTTTAAGATCATAGATTTCTGTTCTGGTGAACCCACGTTAAATAAATCTGTAGAAGATATTTTAAATAGTTCTGCATGAGGTTTCTTTCTGCATGGTTATAAAATGACTCATGCAAAAAAAAAAAAAAATTCCTAAAAGTTGGAATTTAAAGCAACTAGGATACAAGTTGGGTATTAGACTGAGGAGCTGCCACAGCAGCATGGAGAGTGCACAGCACAAGGAGGGATTTTGTATTAATTGGTGACATCTTTGACTTTTTGCTCACAGGTGAAGCAGTTCCAACCTCCACCCCGCCCAGTGTTACCTTCTGATATTCCTCCTTGGATCTCAGGGCAGCCTCCATCTGCTCCTGGGAGAAGGTGTAGATGGCAGAGCGGTACTGAGTGCCAACATCGTTCCCCTGGCGCATCCCTGGGGGCACAGAACACGGGAGATCAGCTTCCATCCCTCCCTCCTTCCCTGGGTGCTGGGAGAAGGTCAAAACACCCCCATTCCACACAATCCCAGCACGGGTTGTGTAATGGTGGAGGTGTTTTTGCACCACTTAATTCGTGGTTTGTCTGGAGTCTCTTCTGTCTTCACTCAGAGCCAGGATTAAAAAAACACACAAGGAAATGGATTTTCTCGTGTTTGGGTTTGGTTGTTTATTAAATCTTATCAAAAGCACAGAAAGTTCAGTAGCACCTCTAGCCACCAGCTACAAGTGAGCAAAATGGAAATAGATCCATCCACTACAAGGCTTCTTAAAGCTAAACAGTCCAACAGAGAATTAACACTTATATTATTTATACTTTTAACCCAATAATCAAACACCTGTGACCCTCAGAGTAGCACTGTCCAACCAGAAACTACAACTCAAAACCATGAAGAAGAAGGAAGATGAGCACTGAAAGAGACACCACCCAAAATCCTCCATCTTGTCCCATACCCATCACTATATTATAAAAATCTCAAATTTAAAACCCTTCACCACGTGAAATCACACACTTCTATTTAACTACACACCCGTGATTTTAACTCCATCACTCAAATTTGGAAGCCTTCTCCAAGGCCTCAGGTCAAAAGCAGTGTTCTCCAGGGGGTCAGTGCCAGAGAGCACAGAAAGCTCAAAAATCCCAGGTTTTGGGGATCCAAAAGGGTTGGGTTGGGAGAGACCTTAAAGCTCATCCCATCCCAACCCCCTGCCCTGAGACATCTCCCACTAAATTCAGAATATTAGGTACAGCTGGATTGGCACAGTTTCTTCCATGCACACTCAGCAGGTAGCTTTAGGAAGTCCAAGTCTTTGGTTAAAGAATCCTGAAGGGATTCAGTGCTGATATCTCCTTTTAAATGCCATGAAAATTAAATATGAGCATTTTTCGGTTTTGTTCCACCACACAATAGTCAAATACAGATATCAAGCCTTAAATAATGAATCTGCAATCACTGTAATCAAGGCACCCTTAAGAAAACTACCAAATTACCAAAAAAATTTTGATTTTATCAAGTGCTTTTAATCTTTCTTGTGCTGTGGGAATACAACTTAATGGGAGAAAGGTACAAAATATTTTGGAGAAAAAGAATTATTTTTGAGACAGGCTGCCCAGAGAGCTTGTGGACTCCCCATCACTGGAGGTGTTCAAGGCCAGGCTGGATGGGCAATTTTGGCACCAGGATTTTGTGATATTTCTGCTGATATGTGTAACCCATTCGAAAGATCTGATGTATGAAGTTGTTCATGTACAAATTTGCAAAATATGGGATGGATTCTCCCTACAAAGCTACAAAACACTGGGCCAAAGCAGAGAGGTGGCAACTGTCCCCTCAGGTGACCAGCCCAGATCTGGTTTGGCACTGCAATCCTGGAAAGCCACTGCTGCTTCCCATTCCCATTCCCATTCCCATTCCCATTCCCATTC